GGCACAAGTATACCTAATGCAACAAACCTGCATGTTCTGCACATGTAGCCCAGAACTTAAAGTATCATAACAATAAAATTTAGAAAATAAAAAAAATGGATTCTAGTGTGTTCATCTGTAAAATGAGACTATGTTTCTTCTAGTTTCTAAATTTGATGTTCTCTTTTCTGCAAGATCTTCCCTTTGTCAATTTTTTGTAGATCATCTTTTTTCTTTGATAATTTTGCTAATTTATTTATCATCTATATCTCTGTGTCCTGTTAGATCTTTGATGACTGACCATCTAACAAAGATTTCATTTCCCTCTGTATGCTTAGAGAAGTACAGTTATAATATCTCTTTAAAAACATCTAATACAGTATTCACGAATAGAGAAATGATTTATGTAAGTAGTCTTCTCTTATTTGTTACAATTTTGCCAGGATGTTATAGTATAAACTTGACTACTTATTCTACATAAAATGTCAAAAAATTAAGATTTTTCTCCCCAAGTAATTTATATATTTGCAATATCATCTTAGCTTTGATACTATTAAAATTTGGAATTAAATACTTTTTGAAGGATAAAATAACTGTGGGCAAAGCTACCTAAAATCTACTGCTTTCAAAGAGAGTTAACATCAATAAGAAGCAGTCTTTACCAAAGTGGGAGTTTCACAGCTTAAATCTGAAAAGGAACTGTCAAACGTTTCTTACTCTCTTGGATACAGTATAAACTAGTTAAGACATAATTACAACTAATAATTGTTACTATTACTATAGTAGCTTCATTTATAAAATATTACTTCTTCCCTAATTAAATGAAGCATTCAGTGCTTCGCATAATCAATTAAAATATTATGTAGTTACATTATGCATCTCAAAATGTGAAAACCAAGAATAAGCCAGAAAATACAAAAGAAAAACAGTGATGTGAAATGAGCTAAGGCGAAAACAAACAAAGTGAAAACACATTTAAACCAAAACTTTTCTGAAAAATTGAGGTATCCAAGAGGTCAATCAAGCATGTACACAGAATTAGGTGGTATTAAATCTAACAGCCAAATATAGGCTAGTCCAGTCTAACAACCAAAGGATATAGTGGATTGACTGATTCAAGTTTAGAGACAGCAGAGATAAACTTGAGAGCACTTTTTCAGGACTAAGTTGTAACTTTCAAGGTGCAGATGTAATCATGAGACTAGAACCCTGTGTAAGGAGACTATGGGAGACAAGTAAATAAAGCTGAGTGGCAAAATATCCCCATGGTCCACAGAACATCCTATTCTACGTGTATCATTTAAGGTACCAGAAGATAAACATCTGTAACCTAGTAAGAAAGCAAGAAACAAACCTGGAAATATAATAAAAGGCTAGAAGGAAAGCTATATCCAGTGTCTGGGGTATTTGTGAGATAAAATAGGATAATACCTCAATTCATTTCTGGAAAGTCTGAATCCAATTACTTAAAAAAAAACTCACTATAGACAATATTAACAAATATTTACCTTTCTTCTTTTTGAAATCACTCTTCCTTAACCCTCTGCCATCTAGTTAACAATAAAACATTTCTTTGAAAGGTCACTAAAAATCTAATAAGTACTACATTAATAGGCATGCCTTCACCCTCAAGTTTTTGTCCTGTACCATGATATTATAGATCACCTCTTTTTGACAAGTTTGCTTTGGTTTATAACATTGTATTATCTTAATCTTCACCTTATCCCTTCAAGCTTTTTTCTTTTTCCTTTGGTTTCTTCATTTACCAATATATTTTCCATAGGTACTTAATTATAAAGTGTAACAAACTCTAAAGTGATTTTAGTGCCTCTGACATCTTTCTGAACAAGCCGAGGACCTTAATATGCACTTCTAGGTTAGTTTTTTTCCCCTCGACATTTAGAATATATGATTCTATTCTCCATGACACTTGGGATTTTAATTTTTGAGATGTCTGGAATTGTCCATCATAAGCTAGGTACTGTCAGAGACTTCAACTCAAAGTCAGACCGCCCAGCAGAAAAGATGATAATGGTACATCTGAAATACCAAGCACCAGAAGGTATAAGCCTACAAGAACAGGTAGCTCAGACACGCATGCCATTCACCAAGGTTGCCCCCAAAACATCTCTCTCACTTCATGCAAATGGTTATGTAGGGATTACTGTATGGCCAGCTGAAGGAGGAAAAATCCTGAGCTTTTATGGCAAGATTATGGATAAACTGGCTTGGTATGCAGGTACCAGTCAAAAATAAGAAGCAGCTGTGTAACAACATCACTCATAAAGTCATTGAATAACACCGGAGAAGTAAAATTTCCCCAAAAAGTGGGGCTTTGAGCAGTACACCTAGAGATCCACTTTGTATGAAGTTCTATAAATTCCTTACGGCTGAAAGGTATAAAAGTCAGCTTTAAATTCTCCTTCTCATTTATTCTTATCAGTCTTAGTTTTAACATAACATAAAACCACTTATGCAAAAGAAAAAAGGGGGCGGATTTTTTGTGATTAGGATACAGGAATATTTTCTAGAACTCCAAGGCAGGAATGAAACCAGGCCTATGGAAAAATACTTAAAGAAAAGACTGAAACTGCATCTGGACTATTTCTCTATCTCATCTTTGATCCTCTTGGAAAGTATCATTGTCTCTCCCTTCTCTCTCTCTTGCTCACCATGCCCTCTACACTATTTCTATTCCTCTAGTAGAAAAATGGCCAATCTCAATCTCCCAAGGTTTTACATAATTATACATATGAGCGTATGTCACAGCTCTGTCACCTAAGAGACTAATTTTTTTAATTTGTTGTAATTATAGATTCTCATTTCAAAAATTCTAACTGATTCAACTGGAATAAGGTACAATCAATTTTTGGTACAATCAACTTGGTAGAGTCACCTTATTCAAAATAGTTGCTAGGGGCTCAGTCTTGACTCTGAGGGAGAACTGAGTTACTATGACCTCAACAAATAGCTAGGTTACAATATCCTCGTCATTCATTCTCCCAATCATTCCAGCTAAAAACCTCCTAAGTCGGTTTAGGCTTATCCTTCTCTTTCATATACTAATATATAATTCTGTCACAAAGAATTAATTCATTCTTCTTTCAAAATACAGTATTATCTATTCCTTCTCTATTCTCACAGACTTTATTACTTGCCAAAATGATAATTCAAAAACAGATATTACACTGTAGTTAAATTTGCATTTCTTAAACTACTGGTGAAGATAAACTAATTTTTTTCATCTTATAGATTGTTAGTATTTGTTTTCTTGGTCTGTATTGTGGACTTCATTGTGTCTCCCAAAATTTGTATGTTGGAGTGCTAACTCCAATGTGACTGTATTTGGAATAGGGCTTTTAAGGAGGTAATTAAGGTTAAATGGAAGTCATAAAGGTGAGGCTTTAGGAAGAGACACTGGGGTGGTGTGCACAGAGGCAAGGCAATGTGAGGACATGGCAAGAAAGTAACTGCCAGCAAGCAAATGAGAAAGGCCTTATACATTTGTCCAATTATTCTTTTTGGTCTCATTTAAATTATTTTCAATGTATGATGTAAGATATAATTTTTTTTAAATATAGCTTACCATTATCTCTGTACCATTTAATCACTTTTCCACTGATATGAACTATGTTATCGTATACCAAATACACTTTGACATTCATTCATTCAATAATTTATTTTGGAGGCTATATTCTTCCACATTTATTGTAAAGGAAAGATAATTTTCCACCAAGTTTAAGAAACCTTATTTTGGGTGTCTTAAATCATAAAAGACTATGAGGGAAAATTCTTAACATTACTTTTTAAATTAAAATTGTTTTCAGCTAACAATAAACAAAATGAATATACACAAAATTATGTTAATCCAGTGATGAGCCTAATTAAAGGAGCGGGTACCATCTGATTTAGTTGCATTACACTAATCAAAAAGAACAGAAAAAACAGTGGTGAAGAAACTACAAGAGGACTGTCAGCTTTTTCAGGCTCCTTTTAAAAGAACAGTTCTTGTCCTTCTAAAACTAATTATTCTAAATTCTTCCCCCCTCCCATTCGCTTGATAAAATTCAGATAGTAAAGGTGTATAAGTCAGTGGGGTTATTTTTACAAAGATCATTGCTTAGTGCTAGGAGAGTATCCAGAAGACAGGAAGTTGAGGATTGTGTTCTAAAGTTCTCTCAAGAAAGGGGCACAGAGAAGCTCCCAGTTGTACGGGCCGAGCAACGTCCATGTTGGACGTGCTTTGATACCACCTAAAATCTCTTCTATCCGAGTTCAAAGCCGGAACCATTCCAAGGTTTTCAGGGAAAAAAAATGAGGAGACACTAAAACGATTCCAAAGCCACAGCTATTATTGCAAACATTCACTATTTTCACTTTTGCTTTCCATATGCAATGCACTGTACATACAGTGGGCACCGTATAAGCACATAGCAAATTTGAAAAATATTATCAACAGTGCTTTAGAGAAGATGAAACTGAGATACGAGGAATCATAAACTGTCCAACATCACAGGGGCAAAAAGTTCACCTCAACAGAAACCTCCCACGAACCACAAAAACATAGCCGAGGAAACCTAAAAAGGCTGTACCCCAAGCGGGGCCGGTAAAGTCAGAAAACACTAGGTTGGGGTAATCACAGACCCAGGACAGAGATATCTAAAAGCCCACTCGCCCTCACTACTGCTCTCGAACTTCCTCTGAGGTGCAGAGGCGCTGATGGGACACCCAGAAGTTGCGAGAAAGGGTAGAGCTAACTGATAAGGCCAGAGAAAGCCCGCTAAGATTTTTTGAAGGCCGTAAGGTAAACATGTTGAAAACTATAACTACTCACTCTGCCTACACCTAGTGAAAAAGATGCGGCAAAATCAACAAGGCGTAGCTAGCGCCCGTCAGAAGCTCCGCGGCCTCCACACCCGTCCCAGCATCCTTTGCGTCGCTCACAGGCAAGCCCTGGCGCGCATTGGCCCCTTCGGCCGCCGTCTGCCGGTAGTTACTATGGAAACGCAGCTGCCATCGCTATGTCTCTGCAAAAGACCCCTCCGACCCGGGTGTTCGTGGAACTGGTTCCCTGGGCTGATCCAGGCCGGGAGAACAATCTGATCTCAGGCGGAGTGACGCAACCGGGCCTCCACCACCCCATCTCCACAACACAAGCCCAAACTGCGACCCGCGAGGTGCACGTAAGCGGCACCGCAGAAGTTTCTGCGGGCCCCGATCGGGCGCAGGTGGCGGTGCGAGTGAGCAGCACCAAGGAGGTGGCGGCCGAAACCAAAAAGAGCGTTTGCCGCCGTCTAGATTACATCACGCAGAGCCTCCAGCAGCAGGGCGTGCAGGTGAGATTTCCGCAGGGGAGGAAATACGAGCCAGACGACACAAAAGGCTTGGCAGATGGCCGGGTCCGACGGGCCCCTCATGCGGGAAGGGAGATGTGGAGGGTCTGGAGCGTTTAGGACGCCTTTGTCGCAAAGGTATTCCGGGACGCCAGGACCTGGCAGAGTGAATATTTGACCCATTCTTCTCCTAGATGAAGGTAATTATTGGCCGCAGGGAAATTAAAAGAATTAAATAATTAAAAGAATGCAAATTGGGTAGGTTTTTATCTGGCGATATTTGCTTCAGTGATTTTGTTTTTAAATTTGAAGTGATTAAATGTTAAAACTTGAAATGTTAGTTGTAAATATTTGCCCAAGTTGAGTGCTGGACACTAAATATTTTGTTTTGTTTTTATTCTGCACCATGGAATTGGCAAGTGAAGAGCATGACCTGCTTCCTTCCAGACCTGTAAAACTTTGCATGGAATGGTTCTTGAGTATGTTCCACAAACAGTAACGTTGGGGAGTGGGAAAGAAGTTGAATCCATTTTCATTTTATAATGATTGCCCCAAAATTTCTCTGGCCTTTTTAGATTTAACTTTAAAAAAAATCAAGCCAGTATTGTAGATGCCACATATATGAAATATTTCTACTTACATTTTTTTTTTTTTTTTTTTTGAGGTGGAGTTTCACTTTTGTCACCTAGGCTGGAGTGCAATGGCGCAGTCTAGGCTCACTGCAACCTCCGCCTCCCGGGTTCAAGCAAATCTCCTGCCTCAGCCTTCCGGTAGCTGGGATTACAGGCACCTGCCACCATGCCCAGCTAATTTTTGTATTTTTAGTAGAGACAGGATTTCACCATGTTGGCCAGGCTCGTCTCAAACCTCTGACCTCAAGTGATCCACCCACCTCAGCTTCCCAAACTGCTGGGATTCTGTACACGCCTGAGCCACTACGCCCAGCCCATTGTTCATTTTCAAACAGCACTTAATATTGTTTTAGTTTGTTTGGTCTGCTCTAATGAAAAATCATAGACGGGTAGCTTATAAACAACAGAAATTTATGTCTTACAGTCCTGGAAGCTGGGCATCCAAGATCAAGGAGCTACTAGATTCGGTATATAGTGTATGCTAGTAAAAATTACCCTGATAGCTCTGCTTCCCCTTTATTTGCTTCTCTCTCCCACTCTAGGCATAAAATGACCTCACAATATCTGGTCCTCCCTTCACACAAGTGTTTCCATCACTCAGGATGCATATCTAAGTTCTAGTGCAAAAGGGGACTATGAGTACATGCTGAAGGGACTGTTTAACTCCTTTAACACGTTATAGTATGAGCAACACTAATGTAAGATTCCTCTAACAGAGTGCAGCTAAAAGAGAGACCCTTTTCTCCTTTTTGCTTCACAAAAGACCACCTCAGCCACCATGACACCACCAGCAGGAGGTACTGTCCACAGGAGCAGCAGAAGAGAACTTACCCTATGTCATGAAATATCAAGACATAACAGTTCTTGCAATGGACTACATGTTTGTGTCCCCACAAAACTTGTATGTTAAAACCTAATCCCAAGTATGATGGTATTTGTAGGTGAGGCTTTTAGGAGGTAATTGGGATGTGAGGATAGGGCTGTTTATAGATGAGAACTCCCAGGACCAGAGTGATTATGGACAGGTGGCTTGCCCATGGTCACACTGGGAAGTGGCAAAATTTTAACCTTAGGGTCCATGCTCTTAACCACTACAGGGTGTTGCTTCTGTATTCTCTTGACAGTGGATAATGGAGGTTTTAGGTAGGGAAGATGTAGCTGATGCTATTGATACCACTACTTACATCCTGTGGCACTTCACATTTGTGTGCATGCGGGCCCAGCTTCCATCTGCCAACATTTGTAAAAGTGAAAGCTTTCCATGGCTACCAGAATCCACTCTGTCTGCAAATGGGGCCAGAGTGTAAAGCCAGGAAATTAAAGTCCTCTCCCCCAGCCCCAGCAGCCTTCATCTGAAGGCTAATGTGGAACTAGAATGACTGAGGGAATGAATGGAAAGATAACCCAGCATCTTCACCTCTTGGGGTAGGATAATTCTGAGGTATGTGTTCCATCCTGGTTCCTAGAGTTTCTCTGCAGGATTAAGTTTGAGTTGACAACAGCAGTAATTTTCTTGACAACACATCTTTTAGTGTCTTTCTTTTCCGTCTTGCATACCACTCTGTTAATGGTGTTTTTTGGAATCATCAAAATTAACTGTATGCAAATCTTTGTCTTAGGATCTGTTTTTAGGGGCACCTAAGTTAAGATAAGAAGTAGGGCAACAAATTGAACATAGGCATTGGCTACAGTTTTTCATTATTAAAAATGGTCACAACATGAATGTCCTCGTAAGCTACATATTTATACATGTCCTTAATTACCGGTTAAGTAGCCCTTATCCAAAATGCCTTACCAGAAACGTTTTGGATTTCAGAAGTTGTGGATTTTGGAATATTTACATTTTATATATGCCAGTGGAGTATCTGTAAACTGGAAATCCAAAATTCAAAATGCTCCAGTTTTCCTTGAGTGTCATGTTGGCACTCAAAAACTTTCAGATTTTGGAGATTTTGGATTTTTGGATTAGGAATCCTCAACTGGTAGTGTTCTTTGAACATTAATTCCTGGATTATGTATATTTGAAGGCTTATGAAAAATTATACTCTAAAAACATGTTTACATCTTCATTTGGCACAGTAGGCATTATTCTGTAATTTTACCAACTTAGTAGTTAAAAAAATGATACTGTCATTTCTTTTTTCTTCATCATTTGAACTTTTTGAATATAAATTTCTAGTTCAAAATATTTTACCCATTTTTCTATTGTCTTTACCTTATTAAATTTATAAGAACCTTAAAAATTAAGGTTACAAATAACCTGCCCAGGCTCAGTAGTTTGTGCCTGTAATCCCAGCACTTTGCGAGGCTGAGGCAGGCGGATCACTTGAGGTCAGGAATTTGAGGCCAGCCTGGCAAACATGGCGAATCCCCGTTTCTACTAAAAATACAAAAATTAGCCAGGTGTGCTGGGCGGCACCAGCATTTCAGCTATTCAGGAGGCTGAGACAGGAAGAACCGCTTAAGCCCAGGAGACAGAGTTTTCAGTGAGCCGAGATCACACCACTGCACTCCAGCTTGGGCAACACAGTAAGACTCTATCTCAAAAAAAAAAGACTGTAAATAGCATGTCATATATTGCAAAATTTTTTCAAAGTTTTCTATTTGCTGTCAAACTTGTATTGAACATATAAAATCTTAAACATTCAAAATGTTAAAGTTTTGTTTAGCTAAATTCATTAATTTTTTTTCTACCTTTGCATGTTATGTTTATTGGTGTAATGGGTTCTTCTCAAGCATAAAGCTTTATAACTTTTTTGTTCTACCTTTGTATTTTTTTTCTACCTTTGTATGTAATGTTTATTGGGTGTATTGGGTTCTTCTCAAGCATAAAGCTTTATACAATTTTTTTTTTAAGACACAAGGTCTCACTCTGTTGCCCAGGATGGTACTATCATAGGGTGTACTATCATATCATATCATATCATATCATATCATATCATATCATATCATATCATAGGGTGGTACTATCATAGTTCACTGCAGCCTAAAACTCCTGGGCTCAAGCTATCCTCCCACCTCAGCCTCCCAAATAGCTAGGACTACAGGTATGCACTTCCATGCCCAGCTAATTTTTTTATTTTTTTGTAGAGATAGGGCCTTACTATGTTGTCCAGGCTGGTCTCAAACTCCTGGCCTCAAGCAGTCCTCCCACCTTGACCTCCTGAAGCACTGGAATGCCAGGCATGAGCTACCACACCTTGCCCAAGAGAACTATTAACTAATATTTCCTGGACTCTTAAGGAACCTTTGTAGTGCATTAGATATGTGTGCTGTGCTTGGTATTTACTTTGGTATAAGGATAAGAGTTTTGTTTTCTCTTAAATAGGTAAGTAGCTGTACTGACACCATTTACTGAAATTTGTCTTTCCCTTACTACATGTGCAAGAACCTTGCTTTATATAATTGAAAAGTCAAGTTGTAATATGGGTTTTCATTGTAAAGGCTCTACATATTTTGATGTAGTTCTCTTGGTTTTACCCTCACCTTCCTGCATGATACTAAAATGGCTACAACATTCCAAAGCCTTACATTTTATACTGTAGCTTAAAAACAATAGTCTGTTTTCTGAAACCACATTTATTTTTTTTAATCCTACAGCTCACTGTAAATGGAAAACGTAAACTTAAGTTTTGTGGCCAGAGAAATGCCAGACTAAGTAGCTTAGATTCAGATTTCTGTCTGTCTTTGAACCTAATCCTGTAGCAAATCAGATGTGATCATCCTAGGTTTAGACCTATTAGGGCTTACCCTAAATCACATAGTTACTTCTCAGAGGGAGTAGGAGAAGAATGTATGACATGAGAATTTTGAATTCCTTCTTGTACCTACTGCTTTGAAATGTTACTGGTTATTGATATTTGTAATCTTCAGATGTTCTTGAATTACTTACAGAATTAATTAGTTCATTTGATCCTTGTTATGGTCCTGTGTTAGTACTACACTGTTTATTATCTTTATAAAACATTTGTAGGGCAAGTCCTCCCCTTATTACTCTTCTGAAAAAATTTCTCTGTCTGTAAGGAACAGGGTTATATGCTAAGTGACAACATGGAATTATAGTCAGAAATTCCAGAGGATGGAAAATTTCTATACAACAAATAAAATGTCTGTTTATATTTTGCATTAAGTTTACAAACTAATTTCAGGATAACAGCTAATTTTACAATGTTGTGTCCCAGTCCATTTATTTAAATGCTTTGTTTTTCTGTAAAGTTTTTTGATTTTTGAAATACTCTTCAAATTCTTTGACCTAGGCAAAGAATTTAAGATGAAGACCCCAAAAGCAAATGCAACAAAATAAAAAATAGACAGATGAGACTTAATTAAACTAAAGAGCTTCTGCACAGCAAATGAAACTATCAACAGAGT